TCTCTCTCTAAAAAATATCAATAATAATAGTAATAAAAAGGAATCTCCACTCCATCAGCTGAAAACTTAAAAACAGCCCTCATGCATCACAGAAGGCACTGGGGAGTAGACACACAGGACGAGAGGGCCACTCACATGTGGGCTCATGGGTGGAGGATCTGCCATAAGCTGCTCCACACCCTGTGTTTTTCCCAGCAGGCCTGGAGTGCTCTCCTGCTTTAAAAAGCAGTTACATTGCTTTTCTTTAAAAGGTTAAAAACAGAAAGGCCGCAGGTGAGGGCTCTGGAGGCAGCCTCACCTGTCCGTGTTGGGGGTCTCACACCAGGGCAGCAGGCCCAGGTCTGCACTGGGAGCTGCGGCCCTCACCGTGCCCCAGTCTCCTCACCTTTAAAGGCTTCGTCTTACCCACCTCAAGGGCCAGCCAGGTGAGGAGTAAATGGGGCTGGGACACGCCACAGGTCTCAGCACCTGCCGGTCCCCTGCCTCACCCCATGATCTGTGATTTACCCTCCAGGGTCCCCTCAGGGACCCCTGAGGATGGGGTGCAGCTTAAGCCTAAAACAGCAGGAAGGCTGCACAGTTGCTTCCTCCTGACCCTCCAGAGCTTCTGCACTGATTGCATCTCTGGACCTTCCAGCACCTCCTCCTGCCCCGCAGGGAGGCAGGAAGGATAGGCCTCATCATTAGCGCTCAGGACACTCACATGCCCAGGGTCCCCCGACTGGGTGGAGGCGGGGGGAGCTGAAGCTGGTGCTCACACCCCACTCCTGTCTTCACCACCCCCTTTTCAGTGATGAACATCCCAGTCACCCCGAGAAAAATGTCAGGGCCTTAGTGTGGGGCTGAGGAAGATAAAGTGTCCTCCCCCTTGGCCTTGGCACCTCCTCCCAGCAAGTGCTTAGTGGGCGTCCAGGCAGCCATTCAGCGGACGAGGCTGGGTGGCTGCCCCAAGGAGCCCTCTGTCCAGGCAAACAGGTCAGCGGGAGGAAGGAGGCTGCTGGGTAACCCTGCAGAACTGGCCCTGACTCCAGAAGCTGTGCTCTGTGCGGTTCTGCCAGCAAAGTAAACAGATAGGGCCAGCCCCTCCGGGCCTCCCAGCTCAGGCAGCAGCGTGCCTCTGGCAATGGAGACTAGACACGCAGGGTACTCAGCGCACTTAGTGAGGGAGTAAGGTCAATAGTGTCTATTTGCCCAACTTGTAATCAAAGATAGTGCCACTGATACTTCACTCTCTGGGGGAGGGGCTAGTGTTTATGCCAAGTCTAAACAGTGAGTGATGCAGTGTCATTCCCAGCAGTGGTGTGTCTCCTTGTTTATCATAATCACAATATTGATCGGGAGGAATGAGCACGTGTTTATATGTATGGGAAGTTGAAGAGTGCAGCGGGTAAGCCCAAGGCCTGTGTAAGCCTCGCCATCACTGTGTAGGGTTCTCTAGAGAAACAAATCCAATAGCATGTGTGTGTGAGAGTGTGTATAGAGAGTGAGGGAGGGAAACTGGGAGTCTTAGTTTAAGGACTTGGCTCAAGCAGCTGTGAGGACTAGCGAGTCTAAACTATAGGAGAGGCCAGCAGGCTGGACACCCAGGGAAGGTGACGTTGGAGCCCAGATGCAGTCGGGAGACGGAATTCCTCCTTCCTTCGGGCCTGCTCCCATCACAGAGTGGTGGTTTGAATGTTAATTACCCCTAAAAACACCTCCGCAGCAACATCGGGACTCATGTTTGACCAAAAACTGGGTACCATGGCCTGGCCAAGTAGGCACATCACATTAACCTCAGCCCCTGTCAGCATGTTAACCTTCTGAGCTCCGTTGTCTCGCCTACAAAGTGGGGATAAGAAGACCTGCTGGAAAGGTGGTTTTGATGATGTAAAGTACCCAGTGGAGCGCCTAGCGCACAGCAGGCATGTGCTGAGAGCGTGATTGGTGCAGACACACAGCCGTTGCAGGGAAGTCAGGTTTAGGTTCCGGTTCCAGTCCCTCCACGTATCCAGGTGGCCTTGGGTAAATCCCTGAGCCTCACCGAGCTTCAGTGTCCTCACCTTTAAATGGTGGCAGTTACTGTCTTCTAGAGCGATATGAAATGATACAGGCATAGACACTGAAGTGCTTGCCATTTCTTGGGGGCTTGATAAACGCTCGTTCTTTCCCCTCCCCCTCCTAGGGGTAGTAAAGGTAGGAGACATTCGGGGGTGGGGGCAGGCAGGGTGTGGCTAGAGGGGAAGTTCAGAGGCAGGGTTTAGGGCCCACATGATGGCCATCGGGCAAGCAAGTGCATTTCCTGAGAGCAGAGGAGGGGCTAAGAGAGGGTACGCTGGGCAGGCTGGAGAGAGCGGCTGTGCAGGCAGCGGCCCTCAAACAGCAAGCCCAGGGCACTTCTCCCAGCTTCCTGAGGGGCACTGAGGCAGGGGTCCCCAGTGTGGGGAGGGCCTCTCAGAACTGGCCCTCACCGGAGGTCATGGGAGGTGATGGAACCTTGAGAACCTGGTCCCTTGAATGGGGCATCCCACCACCATTACGTTCAGGTAGGATGTGATGGTGATTTGAGGATGAACCCTTAAGCCAGGTGGGCATCCAGGCAGAAAGCTTTATCTTTGGGAAACCCACCCCACCACCTCAGTATCTCCGATACACCCAACAAAAGGCACCCCTGCGGGATGCGTGCCCTGCTTGCTGCCCACCCAGCGCCGCTCACCCTGCCTCTCTGCCTGGTGTACCAGTCATTTGTTTCCTTATTCTTCTCAGATAGGCAAGGGGTGCCTTGTCCTGTCTCCCTGAGACCGCCAGGCCTCCCTGACTGCCCTCAAGTTCAGCAGCCTCAGCTGTTCACCCCCTGGGGCAGGACCTCTTCCAGGGACCCCCAGCCCCCGCCCTGGGCCTGTTTCTCTCCAGTGCAGTTTGCAGCTCTTTCTGCACGGGTCTCACCTCGCAGCCCAGAGCTCTGGCTGACTCCGTGGCCAGTAGGGCTTGAGCATCTTGGCTTCTTCCAGGGTTTGGGGCAGTCCTGACACCCCTGAGCCAGGAGCCAGCAGCAGGCCAGGCGACAAGAGAGGTGGGTGGGTCTTGTCCTGAAGGCTCGTAAACAAAGACCACACACACACACACACACACACACACCCCTTGGGTTTCTGTGAAGCTGTAGGGGAAAGAGACACCAGAGGAGGAAGAGAGGCATGGTCCCTGCCTGTGTGGGGCACAGGCTCAGAAACGGCTTATTGCGGCTTTCTAGTGAGCATCACCCGCGCTTGAGCTGGAATTTACACAGCACTTCCGAGTCCAGGAGCTTTCTCTGTATTAACTCCTGGATTCTCACCGTGACTCTGAGACAGATACTGTTGTCCTCCCCTTACAGGGGAAGAAACAGGCCCAGAGGTAGCGCTGGTTTTTGAGCACAGGACACTGATTGAAGTTGGGCTGCAGGGTTCCTGGGCCGCATTCTTACTCCTGCTGCTGCCTGAGCTCCTGGAAGCAGCCTTGGAGGTCATCCAGAGCAGCGGTCGCCAGCCTCTCGGACCTCCGACCACCAATGGTCGCGGACCAGCAGTTGGTGACCGCTGCTCCAAAGGTGTCCTTAAACCAGCTGTCGCCAACCTTTCAAACCTCACGGACCACCCGTTGGTGACCGCTGCTCCAAAGGTTTCCCTAAACCAGCGGTAGCCAGCCTTTCAGATCTCACGGACCACTGATCCAAAGCATGCACCTTTTTCTTAATCCTCACCCAGGGATGTTTTATTGATTCTTAGCGAGGAAGGGAGAGGGGGAGAAACAGGTTGCCACAACCAGGGATCAAGCCCACAATCTAGGAGGTTCCCTTACTGGGAATTGAACCTGCAACCCCTCCGTGTCCAGGACAACACTCCAACCCACTGAGCCACACCAGCCAGGGCCAAAGCGCTCACTTTAGGGCCAGAGAGGGAGCAGTCACCTTCCTGGCCCTCATGCCTGGGTGATGGCTCTCTCGCAGCCCTGCACCACTCTGCCTGCCTGGGCTGGGGTGGCCACCCGCTGCACTGCTCCAGTTTTCTTACCCCTTTCTTACCTTTGCTAGTTGAGAGCAGGGTCTGGGTCCTGCCCTGCACAACCATGTGCTCGTCAATGTCTGTTGGATGAGAAGAGAGGGTGGCAGCCCCAGCTGGTTTGGCTCAGTGGATAGAGCGTCAGCCTGCGGACTGAAGGGTCCCAGATTCTATTTCAGTCAAGGGCACATGCTTGGGTTTTGGGCTCGATCCCTAGGGAGGGGTGTGCAGGAGGCAGCTGATCAATGATTCTCTCTCATCGATGTTTCTCTCTCTCTCTCTCTCTCCCTTCCTCTCTGTAAAAAATCAATAAAATATATTTTTAAAAAAAGA